ATATACACATTCATGTCAAAATCTTAATATTCTTAGATAACTGTTTATGGAATATTTATTTATGATCAACAATAATGTTATGAACTTTATACTTACAACAGTAAACTTAACTTGAAGACATATATTCTTTCTTTTAACGGCAGTGAATGTTCTTCGTATACTAGAGGCTCGTCTTAAAGATTGTGAACCTTCCAAGCCAGGCATGGAACTGCATAAAGTTCCAGAAACTCCGGCACCACGTGCACTAACAAACAGCATATTCACATCTTCCCTGATATCAACATAGGAGTGTAATATTAGTTGCTGATGTTATCGATATGATTAAATTTCAATAAATAAAGATCCCTTTATTATTTCAATCCGAATAACTAATGAAAAATGTGTAAACGTTGGCATGTTCGACGATGAAAGAAATAAGAAAACATTTAAATTAAATACCTTGTACTTTCTTGAAGTATCGTAATGGCACTTTTAGTAACAGGATTTTCTCGTGTTGCTTTCAGCCAGCCTGTTGCTGTATAAAGTACGGGATTAGTACCCAACAAATGTTGTAAGACAAACTGATTGTTCCCAGGTGCTTTTCTCAGCAATATTTGATGATCTGTGCAAGAGAAATTAGAATGGAAAAAGTAAGTAAAACTCTTAATAACCTAGCTTATTTATTTCCAAGTGCAAATAAATTTAGATTACCTCTGTCTCCGTAATGAGAAAACAATCGATCTAAAAATGTCTCGTCGCTACCGCCAGGACATACTGTTTCTTCGTCTAACAGCCACAAAAGACCCTTTCTCTCCATTTGTCTACTTCCACTAAGGTCACTTTGGCTAGTTCGCAACATCGTCGCGCCTTGCGAACTTCCACGATCTAATAGCGAAATCAAACCCTGAGGTGATCCAATTCCATCTTCGTCGCAGTCATCTTCGTAATCTACGTCAATTCCTTCTTGGACGTACCTTAATTATACGGATGAATTCAATAATAATATTGTATAACGTATACGCAATACACATCTGAGATTTCTCTATGTTTCTATTCTTTTATTTCTTTGTAAAACTTTTACTTAATTTTACTCACTCTAAACTATTAACAGATAAATATAAACTATTTAATTTATAATCTATTACTTTATCCCTTGTTATTATCTATTGCTAAATTACCACGTCTCGCCAAATTATATTTGGGACACCATTGCCGAAAATATTCTCATAACAAGTTGTAGCACACACTATCTTCGTAAGGACAAATACATTGGAAATATTTTTAATCGATTTTTCTTCCATTTCTCTCGTTATTTTCAGAGAAAATTAAAATATCACACTTTGCTTGTGAGCCCGGGGAAGAAAGAACAGGAAATATGTAACGTACTTTAATCGAGTATCGATATCGATATTCGATATCGAGTATGTTGATACATATCGAATTTTTTTCATTTGAAATAAAGAATATGTCTATATTTAATTTTTAGTTAACATTTTAACATTAAATTACGTAATTAACTTAGTTTTTTATTTAATTTTACCACTACCACAATCTTAATTACTACCGGACATAACCTAATAACAGTATTTAAGGATTAAATTTAAAAATAACCTATATATCATGTTTCAGATTAATGGAATAATCACATAGAATAATTTTAAATGAAATTATATCGATTCCGAAAGAAATTCGACATTAATCATAATACATATACATGTTGAAATAAAACATTTTGATGAAATGCGATGAATTGTATTACAATGTACCTGTCCTTTGGTGCCACCAGTGTTGTATGATGAAACAGCAGCTGCAACCGTTCCTGCAAGTAATTGTGACACAAATCTTCGAAACAGGCTCCAGTTTGTCGACCGCAGGAGGCTGGATTCTGAAAACCTGGCGAGTCACACAATAACAAAGACGACACTGTGTGCACAGAGGATGATATGGATCTGCGAACGAACAAAGGACGAGTTTATCATCATTACTTTCACTTTATCGACATTTAATTACAAAATGGACGAACCGATTGATGAGAGCAGCTACACAATGGAACACTTCGGAATAAAGTCCAATGAGAAGACCTTCTAGAGCATCTAGTCCCATAATATCTTTGCTTTGCTCCGTAGGACTCGGCGTACGTAAAGCAGGTCTCGGAGTACTTGGTGTACCAGCACCACCTCCGTTGGAAGAGAACACTATTCTACTCAATTCCTCGACGGTAGTGCCCAATAATGTTGCAGCTTTCTCTGCACATTCGACTCTTGCGAACTGCCATCGACTCTGCGAGCTGGTGCCAGCCTTAACCGCACCAGCACAGCTCAGATGATATATACCAGCGAGGACCAGCCAAATAACTTTCTCGTCCGCCTCGGAAACACCGAGGATCCTAAAAGCGGCCACGATTCGATTAAACTCGACCATAGCACGCTGCTTGTCCTCGTGCTTCTGCAAAGGTGTAATGAACGCATTGTTCTCCGCGACTAGATTTGTCAAGTGCAATTCCTTCCTAAGTGCACCCTCCGCGCCTGCCAGTAAACGATAAATCGCGTGGAAAGTTGGATCCCCGTTCGCTCTTCTGCCTATCCTCGACTTCTCCAAAAGCAGGACCTTGCGGATAAAATAAAATAAAAATAAGATTGTATA